ATTACAAGTGGAATACAATGAGTTTCATAACTAGTAGATCTAGAGCTCACAGCACACATGCCATACATCCATGCATTGCTGATTTACACACCATGCGGTGCGTAATGTCCTGCATTCAATTAGGATGAAGTACCAAAGTCAAACAAATCTGCAAGCAGGGGTTCACACCTCACATTGTAAGGAATGGACTCAAGAGACAGACTCAGACCCAAGAGCAGAGCTCTCAATGTTTATTTGGGACGACAGACAACTGTAGTCTCACGGGATAAGGCAGTACGGGGAATCCGGGGACAGGCAGTGCTTCGGAGACACGGGATGGCAAGAGACGGATCTGATCCAGGGAATAGGCAGGTTCGTAGTCGAGAGAAGGCGGAAGGTCGATTCACGGTAGCTCACTGTTTCTACAGGAATTCAGGGGGCAGAGAAACAAAGGGTTCAGCAGAGAAGCGTACTTGCAATACCTCACACTGTGCTCGCTGCGTCGGCCTGCTCTTATAAGTCTCCTCTCTCGTGCGAATTCCGGTGATTGGCTCCGGAGGACGCGTCCTCCCTCGCAGGTGTTCAGAATTCTGGTGATTGGCTCCAGAGGGCGCGTTCTTCGGCGCCCTCTTGCGGCCTCCTGCCGTCACGCTGGGGTTGAGACCTCACTGAGCCCCCTCCTCCACGGCCGGCTCCTGACGGCCCGAGCAACCAAAGACGGCGGGCGCCCCCGTGGGCAAGGTGCAGGACGGTCCGGACGTGCCTGATGGAAATCCTCTATTAGTTCCCAGGAGAGGACATCCCGGGCCGGGACCCATGACCGTTTTTCAGGGCCATATCCTTCCCAATCCACCAGGTAATGGAGGCCGTCCCGTAGCCGTTTGGAATCCAGCACAGCCGTGATAGCGTATGCCGGAACTCCATCTATCTCCAGCGGGGAGGGTGGAGTCGGGGTTGGCCGAGATGGATGAAGAGGGCTAGCATGGACAGGCTTCAGAAGGGATACGTGAAATGCTGAGGAGATACAATAATGTTGGGGTAAAAGCAGTCGGTAGGTTACCGGGTTGATGCGATGGGTGATCTTGAACGGCCCGATGTATTGCGGCCAGAGATTCCGGCAGGGCAGACGCAGCTTCAAGTCCCTCGTAGACAGCCACACCCGCTGACCCGGTTGGTAGATGGGATCGGGCCGTTGTCGCCGGTCTGCGAACATCTTCTGCGTGCAGGCAGCCTGGCGGAGGTGACGATGGGCGGTCTCCCATACCTTGCCACTGCGCCTGAACCAGTCCTCCACGGCTGGCACTGGACCGGGCATAGTATCCCAGGGAAAAAACGGGGGCTGGTACCCCAATACACACTGAAAAGGTGTTAGTCGTAATGACGAGCGGAACATAGAGTTCTGGGCATATTCCTCCCAGGCCACGTAACGGGACCAATCATGTGGATGCTGAGAGCAGTAACTGCGAAGGTACTTCCCCAGTTCCTGATTGAGTCTTTCGGTTTGGCCGTTGGTCTCCGGATCATACCCGGACGTCAGCTTCACCTTTATCCCCAGGCAGTTGCAGAATGCCCTCCAGACGTGGGACATCTCTTCTGGAAGACCAAACTGACGGAACACTGGAGAAAACGACACTCCGCCATTTCCATGGCTGAGGGGAGGTTAGGCAGAGGTATAAATCTACACATTTTGGAGAACCTGTCTATCAAGACTAGAATGGTGGTAAACCCTTCGGACACCGGTAAGTCAGTGAGGAAGTCCACCGCCACATGGGACCACGGCCTCTGGGGAGTGGGAAGCGGCACCAACTCCCCGGCGGGGAGCTGACGGGGAGTTTTTGCTTGCGCACAGACTGGACAGGAGAGCACGTAGTCCTGCACGTCGGTGGCTAGCGAGTTCCACCAGTACTTCTGGGACAAGAGCCGAGTGGTTCGGGTAATGCCCGGATGTCCGAATCCCAACGTTGTGTGGCTCCACTGGACGTGCTGAGGCCGCACTGACGCGGGGACGTAAGTCCGGTTGGGAGGTGCGTCAGGTGGCGCCGGTTCTGTGCGCAGCGCCTCCTGGATGAAGGACTCAAGCTTCCAGTAAATAGGTCCGACGAAATATGCAGCTGGGAGGATGGGGTCGGGGTCGGTCGTGGACGCTGGGGACCCGTACACGCGTGAGAGCGCGTCCGCCTTAGCATTCTTCTCCCCGGGCTGGTAAGATACGGTAAACCGGAAGCGGGTAAAAAACAAAGCCCACCGGGCCTAAAGTGGATTTAGCCGTTTAGCCCCTTTCAGGTACTCTAGGTTGCGGTGATTCGTCAGTACCACGAAGGGGTGTCGAGCTCCCTCTAGCCAATGCCTCCACTTTTCAAGGGCGAGTTTGATGGCTAGCAGTTCCCGGTTAATGGTTCTTGGTAAACCAATTTTGAAAACAGCTGGGAAACCTCAACAAAGCTGTTTAGATAACAAAGATCCTAAGTGGGTAGTTTCTCTTGGAGCCTACCAAAATAAATATTAGTAAAAAATATAGTCAGTCGGACTTGTGGGGTTTTGTTGAGCACATGAATTGCAACTAAGTGTCAAATTTCAAGTCGCATTGGTACGAAGTGCCTGGCCTTTCCAAAATTGTTCACGTTTGGCCTTTAAATACAATGCTTAGATGTGGCCTATTGGAGTCAGATTTGCTGGGTGGCGCTTGGACATAATTCCCACTTAGTGGACCATGTGTCATGATTATAGCTTGTTCCAGCTCACATGAATCTTAGCTGCATCAGGGGACAACAGATAACAAAATGACAACTCAATCTCTATAGGGTTCTGCCCCCCTGGGCCTTCAACAAGGTTAACAAGGCTCATCCTCTTTCACAGGAATAGATGATTACAGGCCCTTCGCCCTGTCTGACTTCTGTGCTCATGAAATCCTTTGAGAGGCTGGTGTGGACCCTGCAGAACGTCACAGTGCCCCTGGTGGACTTTAGCGCTGCTTTCAACACCATCATCCTGTCTCTGCTGCAGGAAAACTCCCAGCTGCACGTGCCCGACTCCACCTGCAAGTGGGCCACGGTGGCGCACAGAGTAGAGATGCTGTTTAAAGATTGGTGGTTCAAACCCCGACTCAGTGTCCCTGAGCAAGACCCCTAATTGCTCCCTGGGCAAAAATGTCAACCCCGTGGGATAAAATCTAATGTAAGTCGCTTTGGATAAAAGCGTCAGCTAATTGACACGTAATATAAAAGTGGATCACAGACTTCCTGTCTGACAGGAAGCAGAAGCAGACCATAGGCACCAGTTCCCCCAAAGGCTGTGTTCTTTTCCCTGACACCACCCTCATTGGACTGATCTCTGGTGGGGATGAGTCCGCCTACAGGTGGAGTCTGACCATCTGGTGTCCTGGTGCAGCCAGAACAACCTGGAGCTCAACGCTCTAAAGACAGTGGAGATGGTTGGGGATTTCGGGCGGAACAGAGCCCCACCCTCCCCCATCACCCTGTGTGACTCCCCCGTCACTATTGTGGATTCCTTCCATTTCCTGGGCTCCATCATCACCCAGGACCTCAAGTGGGAGCTGAACATCAGCTCCATCACCAAGAAGGCTCAGCAGAGGTTGTTCTTCCTGAGGCAGCTGAAGAAACTCAACCTGCCAAAGACGATGATGGTCCACTTCTACACGGCCATCATGGAGTCCATCCTCTGCTCCTCCATCACCGTCTGGTACGCTGCAGCCACAGCCAAGGACAAGGGCAGGGTGCAGTGTGTCCTCCGCTCTGCAGAGAGGGTGATCGGCTGCAATCTGCCGTCCCTGCAGGACTTGTTCCTGCAGGGACGGCAGTGCTAGGACTTGCCCCTTCCATCTGGCAGGAGGCTGAGGTCAATCAGGACGAAGACCTCCTCATCAACAGAGCCGGTCCCCCACTAACTGACTGACTGACATTCCACCAGTCACTTTCTGTTGGCTGGTGCACTTTATTGTATTATTTTAACTTGTATTCCTTTAGTTTTAAACTAACCCATAGCCTTATATTCTAACCCATACTATTATATTTTATTTTATTCCTCTTGCACTGTAGTCTTGTCCATTGCCTAACTGTCTGCTGTCATGCACCAATTTCCAAGTCAAATTCCTTGTATGTCTGACATTTTGGTAGTAAATGTTTCCTGATTCCTGATAAGGATTATACTGCTGAAAAAATTCAAACACCATTCCAAATTGTATAACTTTATTTACATCTCAGGCATAACACACAAGACATTTCGTGCCTTACAAAGCGGTATGCGGTATTATTGCTTGTGTATCAGACCAACACTGTGCACAATAATGTTTCCATGCTTTTAAATATCTGCGCTGTAGTGATCTCACATGAATGTATACGTCTTTGTATCAGAATCTTCCCATCCATCTTCACACCGGGGTCACGGGGGGGCTGGAGACGGGGTACACCTTGGATTGCACAGAGACAAACAACCATTCACATCCACACACCTACGGGCACCAATCACCCTGATCCCCAGAGCAGGTCTCTGGACTGTGGGAGGAAGCCGGAGAACCGGAGAGAAGCACACAGGCACGGGGAGAACATGCAGACTCCACACAGAAAGGCCACTGGGCGGAGTGGAACCAGGACCTTCTTGCTGTGAGGCCACAGTGATAACCACCACACCACCGCTCCATAAAATCAAAGGTAGAAAACGACCTTTTAGGCCTCAGCGATCACGTGAAGAGAAAATACATCTTAACAGAGGCTGAAAACGTATAAAAAGTAAGTAGTGTTGTATGTAGAAAATCAATAGCATATTGAAAAAGTAAAAAATCAAAACTGAAATGAAGGTTGAATGAAAACATTACCAAAATCCATCCAACACCATATTCATCTTGTTCTAAGACCCAACGTGGCTTGTTAAACTGTCTTGATGGAATTATGGCAGGACCTTCATACAAGTCCATAACTGCATAGACAAAAAAGATCTTTAAATAGAGCTCACACATAGTCAACATGCATACAATAGGAAGACGTTTTTAAAAGCATTAATCACTATTTCACTTTTTCCTTAAGAATTTTATTTTTATTTTGCTCAAAAATACAAAATGTAGAATAGAGAAAATTAATGTATAGCACTTAGTCATAAACACCACATCCATATATATCAATGTATGAACATGGCCGATAGAAGGTAGCAAATGATCCATGGATGATTCTTTGAATAAGCATGTGTAGATGAGACGGGTGTCTTACTGACGGAGCGTCATTCACACCAGCACGTAGCGGACGACGCCGCCCCCCCGGAGCTCTCGCAGCCGCTGGCTGTGTCGCAGCATGTTCAGGATCCCTTGAAATCGCTTGTCTGCCTTCATCCGGGTGAATTCTCGAATGTCGTCCTCCACCACGAAAAAGTGACCTGAAAGACATTGGGACAAACACAGCGTTTAGTTATTGACGGGTAAATCCTATAAGGCCCATTCCTTGTGTTGCCAGCTGACTTGCTATACATATTACTTGACTTAATCAAATTGGCACATCAATTAAAGGGTAGTAAAAAAGACCAGCATTTCCCCGTAGCAATTCTACAATAAAGTGAAGCGTGAAGCGAGTTGTTTTCAGTTCACTTCATAAATAATGGAATTCTCAATCAACTCCCACGTAGGCTGAATAAAACAAAAGAATAACTTCTTTCAAAGAAGGTGCCTTTGTTTCTACCCAAACGTTGGTTTCATCGCGGGTTCCTGGTAAAGACGTGCTTCACAAGCGCCCTCGTGTACCTTTCGTTTCCTTCGTCTCCTGGTCCTTGAAGCGCTGGCGCTGTTTGCGCGTTTGATTGTTCAGACTTTTTGCTGACTGATGGAGGATCTTGTACTTGGCCGACACGGCCGCGTTGAGGCTCTGCACCGCCGCGTTGAGTTGATCGTACGGCACGCGTCCTTTCATGTACCTGAGGGGGGGGGGGGGCGTCACTAACATTCCATCCACAGAACACATGCTAAATAACAGGACAATGACACTGAACGGCCAAGCGTGTAGAGCAGACATCCTCAGGACCGAGTACAGTTCCAGACAGGACAGAAATCCTTTCCGGGTACCTGTCATATAGAACAGGACCCGGTTCCTCGTACGTGGCTAACTGAGTAAGCCGGATAGTTTTCAGGATGAGATTACGTAGATCCGGCTCATCGCTTCGTCTAAATCACCATAGCAACACATCGGAAAACTTGATCCTTTCATTCGCAGGTTCATCTGAGCTGCTGGATCAGTTCATCACTCCGCCCTCATTGATGAAGGAGCGACATCAGTTAGATGAACGTTTTATAGGGAGAGACATCAGTTAGATGAACGTTTTATAGGGAGAGACTTCAGTTAGATGAACGTTTTATAGGGAGAGACTTCTCCCAGATCAGAGACCCCATCGGAGCCGCCATGACGTCCTGCACGAGCGCTGCAGATGCTGAGGACAAGGATCCTTCATTTACAGGAAGATTTCCCCGTTACGTTACGTGATGAACACCACACACTGCAGACGAGGGTCTCACAGACTGTCCCACCGACTGTCCCGCGGACTGTGTCCCACTGTCTCTCATATATTTCACTGCTTCAGTTGATCAAATGTCTGTTGATGAACGATGGATCTATAATGATTCTCACACACATGTAATAAACTAGTTCTATGTGGTCGTCTACACACGTATGATACATCAGCTGATACATAGATCCTGTTCATTCGTATCAATCTGATGCTTTGGGCTTGTTTTCATCTACATACTCTGAAGGAGTTGAGATCTTTAGTCTCATTGGATGATGATCATCATGAAGCCTCCTGCCAGCAGATACATTTAAATATAATGTGATTGATTAGAGTGACGAGGCACTAAAATGAGCCGTTTTACCAACACGCGTAACGTTAACATGTGTGTTAACCTTCACATCGACAGGAAAAACTCCCCAAACAATGAAAAGGTCTTTGATGGGAAGAATAAAGGGAAGAAACCTTTAGAGACACAGGACGATCCTCCCTGGGACCCTCATATGTGTTCATGATCATCTCCTGCTCTTCCTTTAAGTTTATTTGCCGTTATACTGTTAAAAAATCCTGGTTTCGGTGATCGACTCTTCTGCCTTAAGACGATTATCCTGATGATTGACATCTGGTTCAAACTAACGAGGCGGTTTGAGCGCCGATCCGCCGTCAAGAAACCGAGAGAGTCCGATGTCAATCATCTCGGTAATTTGAGCTGGACATTTGATGGACTTAGTTGAACCACGTACGAGGAACAGGGCCCAGGTCTAAATATCTTGTCCTTTGTCTGATGTCTCTCCGTGGTCTCTTCTCAATGAGACATACGGACACGTGGTACTTACTGAGGAATGCTCTCAAACTCCTGCATGGTGATCACCTCCATCTCTCTGACGAAGCTCTTGGTGGTCTTCTTGGCATTTTCCGACAGAACCGGCTGCACGTCGTTATTCTGGGTCACTACGGGTTCACCGCCGCTGGGAGAAACAACACAAGGCGTCAGTTCTGTATTGCCGCGGTATTGTGTGTTTGGGTACCTGAAAACTCAAAAACAGAACGAGACAAATAGTGCGAGCTTAAATAATTCATGTTTTAAGTGATGTAAATGTTTCAATTAGATACCCAGGATGCAGTTTGTGCTTTTTGACGGATGTAGTTACTCTTAGATTCACACATTGGAGCCATTGGAGGTGCAGTATGTTCGATTTAAAACTACCAAGCAGAAAACACAATGGACGTGTCCTCACTTTGCTGGACATTTCTTCTTGGGCATGTGTACAGGTACGTTCTCCTGTATGTGCTGGACATCCTGCAAATTCTTCTGGAAGGACTCCTCGAGCTCCTGAAGCACCGTGAAAACAAAAACATGAAGTAACGCTGAGCTTATTCTGAAAAGTGTTTGACTGTTTGAGCGAGAAAATGGTTTTAACCAACGTCGTTACGTTTCTGATGCTGATAAAGAAAAACATTTGCCAGTGATTAACTTAACTGCATCTTAGGTTTCCTCCAAATCAATCCATATTATAACAATTGTACAATGTAAATACATTCATTTTTAAAATGATGCATCACAGCCAACCTTTTGAATTTGGTCAGCATTATTTTGATCAGGCATCTGACAAATAATCGTGTCACATGTATTCTGTTACAATTGGAATATTGAAATGAATCAACTGTAGTATTAATGCTGTAACGCTGTTACAACACTACAGCTTCTGTCCACCAGAGAGCGCCGACACCTTTATTTTCCGTTCACCAGTGTTTCCCCCACCATCATATTGGGGGGGGCCTGATGACATTTAGGGGAACCAAATTGTAGAACAACTTTTAGCACCTAAATGTGTAGATTCCTCCATAAAAAGGTTTCAAAAGGTGGTTAAAAGAAGATGTAATGGCTGTTTTCACTCGGTTTCTCTCATGGAGACGTGTAGCAGGACGCTGCTGATGAGTTGAGGAACCAGTATCCTCATAATAAACGAGCCCTTGCTTATTCTCACGTGCACATGTGCACACTCCCAACACTATTACATTATCCTTCCATTCTGTGACTTGTGATGAATGCTACACATGGCAATACATTACATCTTATGCATATTTACTTTATGCTTTATAATATTGCAATACGATTTAGGTCTTCAGATAATTCCACAGGGCTTTCTGCCTCTTCCCACGTTGAATTGATTTAATCTTTGTTTATTAAAATTAAATTGTGCAAATAACTAAAGCCTTCAGCCTTTACCTTCAGCTGCTTCAGTCGTTCTCTCTGTCGACCAACACATTTTTCAAACTCTTCCAGAAGCTTCTCGAGCGCCACAAATTCCTGTCCAAGCTTCTTCCTCTGAGGCAACTCTACACGTGGAGTGGAGACGAATGCAACGACATGTCTTAAATGGGTAATGCGAATAAAAACGATAGAAAACCACTGCTACGTACCGACGCCTGACAGCTCCAGCGTGCGGTACAAGGAGGAGATCCTCTCCTGGATGTGGAGGCTGATGTCCTCCAGCCCGCTCATCCTCCTCAGTTCATTCAACTCAACACAAGCAGCACAGTGGAAAGAGTCACCTGGTCAATTTGATTCAAACGGAAAAGACATCGGGGCTTTTAAGGAGAACTTGTTGTCGTGGGTGGAAGCTGCGGCCGACGGGGGGACAACAGTGAGAGTACCGGGCCACAGGCGGCAACAAGGTAACGCTAACACGGAGGCTAGCTGTCGGTTAGCGGCATATCAACAACACGAACTGCGTTCCGACTGACACACGAACCCACCAACCGCCTGCTGTTATGCAACGTGAAAAAAACGCAAATAAGTGGGCTTCATCGAAGTACCTCACGCAGTTTACTTCTTTATCTGCAACACCGCGCTCCCGGTTCAAGCTGTGTTTGAAACGGAACACGTGACGTCACGTGACGTCGCTTCCTCTTCTTCGTCTTCAGTGTTTGCAGCACGCAGGACGCCTGGCGGCACGTTGCTGCCCCCAACAGGTCCGAATTAGATTGCAGTTCAGAGTCTCCCTGTTTTTCAAATGTGTCAACACATTCCGGTGGCTTTCACAATTTGTCCGTGCAATTAGACCGCTCTTCACCGTCAGGATCAGGAATTTAAACATTTATTACCAAAATATGTCAGACATACAAGGAATTTGACTTGGCGATTGGTGCATAGTAGCAGACAGTTAGGTAATGGACGACAAGAAAGATAAGACGACATATTGAAAGAGGGATAAAATCAAATATAACGCTATTGTCACGACCCCAGCTCCCTAAATTAGTCGCTGTTCACCTTTTGTAGTTGTTTGTGTGCTTATCTATTTCTTGTATCTCCATCTCTAGTTCATTCACCCTGGATTCCCGTCACTCCTGCCTGGCAACCTGAACCTTTCCCCACATCACGACATCACCGGAATCCGTTTGGATTCTAACTGGAGAAGTTGTGACGGAACAATCCGGCCAGAATACACCCAGCGGACCCATCCTCGCATGTGTGCCATGCTGTGTCCCAACAAGGCAGTTTGTTGGGACAACACAGCACGGCCCTACAGGAGATTATGTCTTCTGTACAAGCCCTGTCTGCCAGTTTATCTGCTATCCAGGCCCAGCTCAGTGCTGCAGCCGTTCCTCTACCACCTGCATCGTCCCCAGCGCCTGCCGAAGCTGGATGTGTTTCCCTCTCTGTCCAGGAGCCCAAGGTCCCTACACCTGAGAGGTATGAGGGAGATCTGGGAAAGCGTAGATCTTTTTTGTTACAATGTGGTTTGGTTTTTGACCTCCAGCCCCGAACCTACGTCTTATTATTGGGCAGCTCTGGAGTGGGCTTCAGCTATTTGGGAGCAACAAGACCCCTACATCCCCTCATACCGGGAGTTCACAGCGGATATGAGGAGACTGTTTGACCACCCCACCCATGGTAAGGACGCAGTTAAGCTGTTGTTCCGGCTTCGCCAGGGAAGCGGGACTCGGCTCAATACGTAATTGAATTCACAACACTGGCCATGAGGACGGAACCAGTTAAGATGCTGTTATGAGGCAATCACTAAGAGGTCATCTACATCCTGTCCTCACCACCAGTGCTGTAGTGGTAAAATTAGAGGTGGGTAAACTCTGAATTTTGTGGTCATTCAGACCTCGACGCGATGCGAAGCAACGCAACACAAAGCGTCGCGACTCTGTAAGGCTGTCCTGGCTATATTGCATTATGTTATCAGTAAAAGTCATATACAATCAATGACAATGAATAAATGTGTTAGTAGTTTGTAGTTTATTAAATTTAAGAAAACAGTAAAGAAAAGTATGTCAACACAACAAGACAATTGCAGATTAAGAACTATCTACATACGCAGTCTCCTTTTTACAGTAGTGCCCAGAGGGCCTCCTTGTCCTCCACGTCAGGTCCTGCCTCGCACAGAGGAGCCATGAACCCCAGAACGCGTGTTCTGGGGTTCATGGCTCCTCTGTGCTTGTCCTCTCTCTATCGGACCTGGTGTTTCTCTCCCTGTGCTCTCTGCATCATTGCCTGTCCTCTCACTGCCTGAACAAATATGTTGAATTTAAAAGTTAACCAGTTAAGCAGCCTGTCAATCACACTGACAACATAAGTTAAAGGAACACTCATGTACTACCTATGTCTTAACAGCATTTTTTTTTCACATTGAGAACTGACTTGTTTTCACAGAGCGCGCGACTACACCCCCCCCCCGGTCGGTCGTTCCGCCCGCAACGACTACTACACCACCCCCCCCGTCGGACCTTCTCGACCGGTCCGCGAAATATTGTCTGAAACCGGTAAGAAATGTTGGGGACCACTGGGCTGATCCACAACGTGTGTTTACACACCTGGATCCTGATTGGTGTCGCTGCTGCAGCCGCAAGGCACTGATTGGATGCTCACAGACCGTAATACAGCGCAGATGAAAAGGATTCAGACTACGGCGTTTATATGTTCAACAATAGGAAATGTAGTCTTAGCTGTTTTAAAATTACACCAAGTTTATTTCAGATTATTCCAACGGAAGTTATTTATAGATGCGTAAACGCTGTTTCCAAAATTCTAGAGGTGCGTAAACGGCATTTACGTGCATTTACCCTCCACTACAGCCCTGCTCACCACGCGTGCCCCAGGTTCTTGGTCAACCCTGAGAGAGGAAACACAACCCCATCTTCAGGTAACAGGCAAGGTAACTAGTCGGTGGGTTCACTGTCAGGCTAACTGCCTGGTAAACAATGTACTTAGTTACATGATCGGGCGCTTTGTGTTTGTCTATCTGGATGATATACTTGTCTTCTCTGAGAACAGCAACGTCCACACTCTGCATGTGCAGCGGGTCCTTCAACAATTACTGGAGAATCGCCTTTTCCTGAAAGCTGAGAAGTGCAACTTCCACGCCCACACGTCGTCGTTTCTCGGATACATCATTGTGGAGGGACAGGGGAAGATGTATGAGGGTGGTTCTGGACTAGCCTCAGCCTGGTACGAGACTGCGACTCCAAAGGTTCCTAGGGTTTGCAAATTTCTACCGCCGGTTTATCCGAGACTACAGCCTCGGAGTGGCTGCTCCATTGACAGCGCTGACATCCAGTGCCAGGTCCTTCTGCTGGACCCCGGAGGCAGAGTATTCCTGGACCCTAAGAACCGGTTGACCACGGCACCCATCCTCACACAGACGGACCCCAAACTTCAATTTGTGGTGGAGGTGGATGCATCTGAAGTAGGGTTTGGCGCCATCCACCAAAGCTCCACCTGTATGCCTTTCTTTCACGTCCTCTCTCCACAGAATAAAGGAACTATGACATGGGAAACGGGACTACTCCCCGTCAAGCTCGCCTTGGAGGAGTGGCGCCACTGGCTAGAGGGAGCTGAGCAACCGTTTATCATCTGGACCAACCACAAGAGTCTTGCGTACGTACAATCAGCCAGATGTCTCAACTCCCGTCAAACCAGGTGGGCCTTATTTTTTGGTCGCTTCAACCTTTCCCTCACGTATCGACCAGGCTCTCGGAATGGCAAGGCGGACGCCTTATCCCGGGTATTCTCAAAGACCGAGGAGACAGGGGCCAAGACCGAGACTATCCTGCCCCGGGACATTGTTGTGGGGTCAGTAGTCTGGAAGATTAAGGAAGGAGTCAAGATTGCCCTTTCGGAATCAACCTTGCTCAGGTAACGGCCCGCTGGGCCGCTTGTGCACAGACGCTTCTGATGGCCAGCCATGGGAAAGGACACCCAGGGTTTTGTTGCTGCCTGTCCATTTTGTGCACTGAATGAAAAAAAAAAAAATTCCCGGAAAGAAGCTGAATTAGTCATGTGCATTAATAAAACGTGAATTATTGTAGAACGAGAGCGTGAGAGAGGAGCTCGGTGTGTCCCCCGGCATTCTAAGCCTATAGCAGCTTAACTAAGGGCTGGTCCGGGCTAACCTGAGCCAGCCCTAACTATAGGCACAATCAAAGAGGAACGTTTTAAGTTTTACTTTAAAAGCGCTGACCGAATCTGCCCCCCGGATGGAAAGTGGAACCTGGTTCCGCAAAGGAGGAGCTTGATAACTGAAGGCTCTGGCCCCCAGCCTACTTTTCAAAACCATAGGAACAACAAGTAACCAGCATCTATGGAGCGCAGTTGCCTTGTAGGGCAATAAGGTGTTACAAGCTCTTTAAGATACGATGCTGCCTCACCAGCAAGTGCCTTGTAGGTGAGGAGAAGTACCTTAAAATCTATTCGTGATTTAACAGGGAGCCAGTGCAGAGAAGTTAATACAGGAGTGATATGATCCCTTTTCTTAGTTCTTGTTAATACACGTGCTGCAGCATTCTGAATCAGCTGGAGAGGCTTAAGAGATTTACAAGAGCAGCCTGATAACAAAGAATTACAGTAGTCCAGTCTGGAAGTGACAAACGCATGAACTAATTTTTCTGCATCACTTTGAGACAGGAAGTTCCTGATTTTTGATATGTTACGTACGAACATGATCTTAGTTGAGAACATACAGTGGAGATAAATGAAAACAAATGTGGAAAACGATTTACACTGTGCTTTTAACTTTCCTATGATATTAAGTATTCAAAATATGTATTAATGTGTTGTGCGTTACTGAAGTTAGTAATAATAGCGTTTTACTAAATAAATAAAATACAAGAGAAGATAAAGTTGTATCTAGACTGGTGGCCTGCTCCAGGAGACACTATACAAAGAAATATGGAAAGTAATAAATATAATATATTTGCAGTAACACTAAAGAAATAATAGAATACGAATTAGAAGTTAATCAAAATAGAATTAAATCCATAGCTTTGGTGCCCTAATGGAATTTTCAATGTTCTTTGAAAACGTGTGTAGTCAATTTATTAAAAAATGAATAAATAAAATAAATAAAATAACTGTGAATAACTTTTATATAGGTGCTCGGAGTGATTATTACGTGTTTCTGCTCTGAGATGTACTTTCCCTCTTAGACCACAAGAGGAACTACTAAGTCCATTTGTGGAGAACACAACACTGTAAATGTGGCACTCTCATTCACTAGATTGCCGACAGAAAATAGCAAAACCTTTTTGCAAAACTACATTATTTTAATATTTTGACTTGGCCAGCAATAAAAAAGAGAAAACTGTACAGAATCTCGCCTTATGTGAAACTTAAATTTACACTATAACTAAACATTTCAATTGAAACCCCAGAAGATGGATGCAAACCGTGTCTGTTATAACCCCAGATATCAGAACGCCGTCATGTCACGTTCACAAAAGGATGCTGATTCAAAGTGAACAACGTTTTATTTTGAAACGAACCGCCGGATGTGCGGGGGTTCCTCTTCCGTCGAGCTTGACGTCGGGGACCGACTCTCAGCATGGACCCAGTTTCTCCCCAACCAGCGGCCGACATGAAAAAGGACTTATATGTGAAAGAAAATGCTATTGTTCAATAGTATCTTCTGCGCTTCGTACTTAGCGGAAGGAGATATTTGCGCCGACGAGTTCCCGAAAGATAAGCGAGCGTGTTCGGCGTAAAACACGAAGGGACGGAGTTGAGGGCAGCGATCTCCGTGCGGAGTCAACACTGCAACAAGGTAAGAAGATCGCCTCGCCAGAAGCTCTTCGTGTTACATTTCAACTGTGTGTTCTCAAACGGCGCGAGTACAACAGTGCGGCTCATTTGGGCCTCTTCCCTCCCTTGAGTTTTGTGGTTTTATGCAACTTTTTTGCAAAGCATCGAGGCTTTGAGGTTCGGACTCTTCTCTCGGTGCGACCCAACGTCCACTCGGCTACATGTGTTTCCTGATGAAGTCACTCAGCAGGCGGCCTCTGTGCACCGCGGGCGCCCGGGTTGCTGTTGCCTAGAGCTGGGATTTTAGCTACTTAAACTAACGTACAAAGCTATAAGAAGAAGCACATTACTCCATGACGTCTTTATAACAGGTCGCCTAGGTAGGTGAGGGGTGTTTATATATATATAATTATAGGCTATTATACATATTAGCTTGATGGTAAACACACAACAGTTTCCCATTGGCCTCAGCTGAGATTCTTTTGAGTCTTCGTTTCCTGATGATGATGATGATGATGATGATGAACCAGATGCTCTTACATTAAAGGAGTGGCACACACGGTTCCTTGTTTTTTGTGAAATTGTAGTGGAATTGAAAAGTCAGCGTCACTCCGGGGATGTTGTCTATGTCAGCATCCCCCGTTGGCCACCATTTTCTAGAAAAAAACCCTGTAATTACCTCCCCTCCCCCAGATACAAATGTATTATAAACTGACCTGACCGACCTGAGTGGATTTGCACTGTGCATCGTATGTGCAGCCTGTTCATGTGGGACTGTTCAGGGCGGACTGTTCATGTGGGACTGTTCAGGGCGGACTGTTCATGTGGGACTGTTCATGTGGGACTGTTCGTGGGGGCTTTTTCAAGACGGGATGTTCGAGTGGGACTTTTCACCGGGTGGCTTGTTCAAAGGCGACTCTCCCGGGCGAACTGTTTCAAGGGGGCTCTCAGAGCGGGCTGTTCTTGAGGGGACTCTTCAAGGCGGACTGTTTCAGGGCGGAATTTACAAGAGGGATTGTTCCAGTGCTAGACTTTTTCTGTGGGACTGTTCAGGGCGGACTTCTCAGGTGGACCTGTTCAGGGCGGACTGTTCATGTGGGACTGTTCAGGGCGGACTGTTCATGTGGGACTGTTCAGGGACGGACTGTTCAAGTGGAGACTGTTCAGGGCGGGACTGTTCCAGGGGGACTGTTCAGGGCGGACTGTTCATGTGGGACTGTTCAGGGCAGACGGTTCATGTGGGGACTTTCAGGGCGGACTGTTCATGTGGGACTGTTCATGTGGAACTCTTCATGTGGGACTGTTTCAAGGCTGACTGTTCATGTGGGACTGTTCAGGGCGGACTGTTCATGTGGGACTGTTCAGGGCGGACTGTTCATGTGGGACTGTTCAGGGCGGACTGTTCATGTGGGACTGTTCAGGGCGGACTGTTCATGCGGGACTGTTCAGGGCGGACTGTTCATGTGGGACGTTCAGGGCGGACTGTTCATGTGGGACTGTTCAGGACGGACTGTGTTATGTGGGACTGGCGGACAGCCTCCAGAGGGACTGAGCTGCTCGGTGCCGTGTCACATGGGCTGTTGCTTATGTTTCATGTATTCACACTTGATTCCATATTGAAACCACATCTCAGCTGTACAAAAGTGATCTTGTTTTATTTCAACAGCTACATGTGAAATTAGCTTATTGTGTCAGCGGTTGGAATTGCAACACGTTACTGGTCGACTAAAGTTATCACAAGCCCACAACTGGTTTCTTAAGACACGTGACAACTGGACAATTGGGGACACTGACTATGGCTCAACATCTGTTAAATGGATCAGTGTCTTTTTAACATGAGTATAAACACGAGGAAGGGAGACAGAAAAGAAGATTGAAATGACTTTGTAACAAAATTATTCAGTAACAATAATTACTTTTTGGGCCGATGCATTGTTCCAAATATAAAGAATAAAGAATATAACTCATTCATTTATCTATGACACTTTTATGATGATCGAATGATGCAAGTTCAGCCATTATGAGCAATGAAGTTAATATTAATAAGAATATCCAAACAATTTAATAAAAATGTGAAGCTTAGAAAAAAAGAAATAAATAAAACAACAGGATCCGAACTGAATGCCCCGTTCTTCTGTTAGTACGGAAAACCTTGCTGTTTATTTTTGGATACACATGTTGGTGACATTTGTATGTAAAGTATAGAAACACAATGGGCAATATTAATACAAATGAAATGTTTTATATAAGTCAAGTCAATGACGTAACAATTTGATAGCTCCATGTATTGTCAATGATGTAACAATGGCCTATGTCCGGTCTATTTATCATACAACAAGTTAACAACGTAGCCCGATTTATCATGACGGCACGCTTTAATAGAACGCAGAAATGATTCTGCGTGGGAAACGTATCAGAACACGTTACGGTCCATATCGTTTCCAAAGGCCATCTCACGCTGGCACATTCGTGCAATAACAAGGACGGAAAGGTTCAGGACAGAAAGACACAATAACAGCTGAGCTGAACCAGCGACTCATGCAGATGAGGTAACATGAGGACAAAAACTTGTTTGTTTGGCTGAACGAGTCCAATTCCTCTAACAAGCCTCCACGTCTTTTGTTTTTGCACACGACGGAATCGGAGCAGTGAATCCAGAAACGGAGACAGGTGCTCTTTGACAAGGTGACACAAGGCAGATATGTGAGCGCTATCGCAGCGCGGCCCCCTAGGAAAGGCCTGTAGAACTGTTGCTTTTCTGTCTCCGTGTAGACTGTAGCTGCTCGGCCAGCGTGGTCACAATTCCATTCATACCGGCTTTTCCAAAGGCCCACCGGCCAGACAATACGTCCTCCAGACAGACGCAGAGTGTTTTTCATATTTTGATCTTAAATGGGTGTTCGTGTTCATACCAGTGCTAGAAAAGCTTTTTGTTCAAACTCACGAAACAGTGCGACCTGATATGCTCAGATCAATACCAATTCTCATAAAACTGCTCAGTGGCATAATAGCATAATACTGTTTCCATCTACAGTCCCAGTCAGCCATGACACGCTTCCAAGGACATCTGCAGAAGGAGGATAAAAAGAGTATTGTTTTGGTTGTGTTCGTAGCCAAACTGTAATTACAGTATCAGCAAAGCCCCAACGGCCAAGAGACGTGAAAGCCGCCAGCAGCAATCTGCATGGGGTTAGTGCACGAGTAGCAGACTCCACTGACGACCTTCAAACTACCTGCCCTGGAGCAAAGGGTCCCGGTGACCTGGTCCCATTGAGCTCCACATTGTATACGTTGAATGTCAACAGAAGGGAGCTTTTTTTATTTTTCCACTAACTTCAATGGCTGAATGAAGATTCATGCAAACTGACCAGAGATGGTCCGCCGAAAGTCTGCACGGCGTTTACAGCATTTAGTTTGAAGTGCTGAAAAGCAGTATTCTGCTTACCTCACCCAGTTATGACACGGAATAGAATCATCATTAATATTTGAAACGGGATTATTAGCGAAAGAACGTTTTATTTGTCAGAATAGTTAGACATTAGAATCGGAATGTGAAAAAATAAATCCTAATATAAATGAAACAAAAATAATAATAAGTGCGAGGGACACGGGCTTGGAGCGATGTGACGGTTGAATATTCGCTTTAAAAAAACACATCTATTGGAATATCTGGTTGCGCATTATGCGCGTCAATAACTGGACAAATTAATACAATGAGACATAACTACTTGTATAGGTAACTTATTTAACTTTAAACATATTTAACAACATATTACCTGCACAAAAATAAGTACATTAACTAACGACCAAGAGCGCAGCTTTCACTGGTTTGATGTTCTGGATTTGTCACTTATTTCTTCAGGGAGTGCGTTACAGTGTGCGCTCCATTGTAGCTCTGATTGTTTAACGGAGTATCGGCGTCAGCAAATGGTCACTTTGTAGCAACAACACACCGTGATAAGCTCCACGCCGAAGTTCAGTGGTAAAAATAACGATAGATAGCAACCAACTGTTCTTGTGAAGTGGAAAACAACAGGGTTTTTTAAAGAAGAGTTACGCAGAGCTTGGAAATGGGATAAACCGCAGAGGTCACCTTCAGGTTCCAAGTGCTGCTGGTTGGTGAGAGATTGGACCACTTCCTTCTACGGGCTCCTCCAACCTCCGGTCCAAGTCAAACACAACTCGCAGAGGTTCGCGTTTGAAGGTCAGATCGGGCTGACGGAATGACATTTGTAAAACAAACTTTTTTTCCTTCATATTTTTTCAAGCCTGCCCTGTTTAAACGGCAACGTGATAAAGACGCAATGCCAATCTTCATTCTCAAATAATTACAGACTTTGAGGCGCGCTGTTACTGTCACTGTGAGGAAGAGGTTCTTGAATCAAGTAAATACAAGTTGTGAGTAAAAAACATTTTTAAACCATTAGAGCTAATTTAAACCAGTGGCTTAAACACCTTTTATTTTCTTTTAAAGGCCTGCAGCCTATAAAAGCTTGATGTTTTAGGCTCAAGCTTTTATATTGGCACATGCCAAGTTTTTCAAATTTGGTCCAAACCTCCACCTGGACTCAGGGACTGATTGGATTTCAGTTGTCAAGCGTCACTGTGACCTCACAAAAAGACTGTGAGGATTTACATTGGGCGTGTACAGAACTAACTATGTTAGCAGCTCAGGACGCATCTCTGTTGTTGGTTGTCTGTAAAGTACGGAAGAATTCAGAAATCTTTTTTTCAAAATAATTCCATTTAAATAGTTGCTCATTGGTCATTGTTATTATTCTAACCATAAGAGTTCAGGCACGCACATACAGGGATTATAAAGATAATAAATACATAAATATAAATATATAAACTAGCATGCTGGAGCTCTGCTTCTAACAAACGATTCAATATAAATACGGGCGTAGTTAAACACTACTGATTGTGACAAATGTCTAATAGGAAAAAGGATGATGTGATTCTACCTGCATGCAAATCTGTTATCGGTCAAAATGAAGAATGAATGAAAATGAAAACGCACAC